CACGCTTTTTTAATTTTGAAGCGAACAAACACTAAAGGAACCTGAAGCTAGAAGACGTAAATCCTCCGCAACAACCCAGCGGTGTTCGAAGCTTCCGCCGCCGTAACACCGTCGTTCTCGCCACGAAGCTTCGATTAGCTCCGCCGTTGTTTGGTTTTGTGTTTTGCAGGTGAGATTTGGTTAAACCCTAGCTCAAAGTCTCTAAGTTTTTTTGTGATACTTTTTAATCTTCGATAGATTGAGAGAGATCTTAGTGATTTTGACTACTCTAGGGTTTGTTTCTGATTCTTTGATTTCAATAGATTTCATTTCTTTTTCCCCTTTTTAGCCGTAATCGGAAATTCCGATGTTCGGAGATTTCGTCTTCGTGATTCTTATAAGCTAAGCATCTTTGTCGTTTCTATTGATTTACAAGTCTTCTAGGGTTTTGTTTCTAGAATTGGTAATTTTGTTGTACCTTTGATATCAATTTCTTGTTCGATTTGTTGCTTTAGATGTCAAATCCATTGAAGGAATCAGTAGACGGTAACTTAGACTCTGTTCGTCATATGAGGGAAGATAACGAGTATGTTCGGCTAGTTGTGGCTCATGAAGCTGCTGCTGCTGAATCCGTGTTGACCGTATCTCAATCGGAAGCTCGGAGTAAGAGATTGATGTGGTGGTTGAAAGTTTTGGGACTATCTGCATTTGCTCTCTTGCTTACGCTTGTTTTCGCCAAATGGGGAGTTCCGTTTGTATTCGAAAAGGTTATTTTTTAAACTCAGATTCTCAAGTTTCAGCGAGTTTCAATGACGATTGTAATAGTGTGTTTCGATTGTAGGTTCTTATTCCGATTTTGCAATGGGAAGCAACTGCGTTTGGTCGTCCTACGCTCGCGATTGTTCTTGTTGTTTCCTTGGCTTTGTTCCCTGTATTCTTGATACCTTCTGGTCCTTCCATGTGGTTAGCTGGGATGATTTTTGGTTATGGTCTTGGTTTTGTTATAATCATGGTTGGAACCACTGTTGGTATGGTTCTTCCTTACCTTATCGGGCTAATGTTCCGTGATCGCCTCCATGTAAGAAGAACCCTTCATTTCCATTCTTCAAGTCATATGATCATTTCTTACAAGATCACTAACTCGTACATATGATTTGTTCTTACGACATGCAGGAATGGTTAAAAAGGTGGCCTCGTCAAGCTGCTGTTCTTCGACTAGCTGCAGAAGGAAGCTGGTTCCATCAATTCAGAGTCGTGGCAATCTTTCGTGTTTCCCCATTTCCTTACACGATTTTTAACTACGCAATTGTTGTGACAAGCATGAGGTTCTGGCCTTACTTCTTCGGTTCCATAACAGGAATGGTACCAGAAGCTTTCATCTACATTTACAGGTCAGTCTTATTACACTCCCCGGATTTAAACAGTTTAACTTCACATAACCGAAAACAATTTCTAAAAGCGAAAATTCATATGTGCAGTGGTCGGTTGATCAGAACATTCGCGGATGTGCAATATGGACATCAACGTTTGACAACAGTAGAGATCGTCTACAACGTAATCTCCTTAATCATTGCGGTAGTGACCACAATAGCTTTCACTGTCTACGCGAAAAGAGCATTGAGAGAGCTTCAAAACGCAGAAGCTAACGAAGATGAAGAATCTCAGGTAAGAAAACAGGTGAGATTCGAGATGAAGAATGTTGTTGAACACGAAGATAATCATCGGCATTTGGGTTCTTCTCATGCATTGTCCTAACTGAAAAAAACTCACTGGAAGATATTATTAGATTTGTATAAAGCTTAATGTTGATTTGTTTTTCAAGCAGGAGTAGTAAATAACAAAAAGGGTAATATCCAAATATGTCTGATGTAGTAAACCAGGAAGACTAGTGTAAGGTTGGATTTTTATTAGTGTTGCTGATACCAAATAATTGAAATAATAAGAAGCAATTAATATATTTTGTTCGAGTATTTTGGATATTCGCATAAATATTTTGAAAAATTATTGATAAAGATATTGATTAACGTTATTGTGAATTCGTCTTGTATCCGAAGTCATAAAGTGAAGATGAGACCTCGAACCATATGAGCTACAGGAACGGCCTAACGTACATGATACATCATATCAGGCCTGCATCATGTACACAAGTAACAAACATTTTTCATCAAAAACAATAGATTTTTGAAGACTTCAAAAAGTTTCCATGAAAAAAATTGGAAATAAAAATACTAACCTAAATATACATGTATAATACTTAAATTCGGCTCGTAATAAATATTTAATATATTAGTAAATT